TGCATCATCTTATACCTTGCTTTGCAGATGATATAGATGATCTAGCTGACAAAGAAGAAGAAATTGTCAGTCTGGTGAAAAACTTGGAGGAAACATCCTCCAGATATGGCATAGAGATTAATGCTGAAAAAATCAAACTCATGATGAACAATGTGAATGGGCTGTCAAGCAAAATAAAAGTTAGTGGTCACTGAAATATCTTGGCTCAAAGATCAGGCTGCTATATGTGTTGGCACCTTTCTCAACCATTGTGTATTTTTGCAAATCTCATACATTAACTGAAAATCACCTGAAAGAATCAGAACAATGACATGCTTCAATTCATGTTACAGAAGCATTTCTAGTCATCTTCCATGTAGACTACATGGCACAAATGATGCAGCAGAAGACAAGAAATGGCTCCATTGGAAGATCTCATAGCCACAGACAAGAAAAAAAAAGGTTGAAAAGGTATGGACATGTCATATAAGTCGACACTCTTTCCACTGCCATTCGACAAGGTTCCGCCTTGGGAAAAAGAAAAAGAGGCAAACAGAGGAAGAAAATGGCCTAACAACTTCACTGAGTGAACTGAAAGATCATTCACAGAGACTCAGACATACACAAGCAACTGAGACATATGGAAGGAGCTGGTCAGCAACCCTGCAAGTACACCACTTGATTATGACAATGATGATGATGATGATGTAAACTTGGTTATGGGACTGTTGATGATTATGATGATGTAATTGGCTATGATAATAATGATGTAATTGGTTATGGGACTGATAATGATGATGATGTAACTGGTTATGGGACTGATAATGATGATGATACTGATGATGATAATGTAATTGATTATGAGACTGATGATGATGATGATGATGATGATGATGATGATGATGATGATGATGATGTAATCGGTTATGGGACTGATAATAATGATGATGGTGATAATGATGTAAACTTGGTTATGGGAATGATGATGATGTAAACTTCACTTGAATAATTACAATTACTGCATTTCACTCATACCCAACATGAATTTAATAATTTACACCAATATACAGTTAGAGTGATTGCTAATAAAGACTTTGAATGCTAATATAAATTTGTTTTAATCATGATTTGAATATTAATATCAACTTGAACAATAATAAATATTGGCTTGAAGTTTATTTTGAATGTGAATAAAATTGGTCTGAATGTTGATTTGAAAGCTGGTAAATATCGCATTTAATATTTTGAATGCTAACAAAAATGGTTTGAATGTCGATTTTAATGCTAGTAATAATTGGTTTAAATTATATTTTGAATGCTAAAAAAGGGTTTGAATGCTAACAAAAGTTTGCTTGAGTTATAATGTTAGTTTGAATGCTAATAAAATATTTTGAATTGTAGTAAACTTTGATTTGAATGCTAACAAAATTTTGAATATTAATAAATATTGGTTTGGATATTCATCTGAATGCTAATAAAATTGTTTTGAATGCTAATAAAAGTTTGAATTCTAATAAATGTTGGATTGAATGCTAATAAAATTGGTTTAAATGCTAAATAGGACACTTTGAATTCTAATAAAACTTTCATGAATTTTGATTTGGGTGCTAATAAAATGGTTTGAATGTTAATAAAAATTGGTCTCAATGCTAGAAACAAATGTTGGTTGCATGAATTCAAATGAGCATGCTTGAATGTTGATAAATATTACTGATTTGAACATTCATAAAATATGTTTTATGTCAATAATGCCATAATTTGAGTTAGTTTCTAACATCTAAATTGTATAATAAAAATTTAGTCCTGCCAAAATTTAACTGAATTAAATGCTCATTCTAAATTGTAAAAATACTTTTCTTTCTATAATTTTTGTTAATTTTAATCAAGATTGATTTTTTGAATTTATCAAATTTTGGATCTGACAAAATTTGATAAATTTGAATTTATTCCAAGTCTAATTTTTGATGGTTTTAATCAGATTTAAAAATATTTTTTTATATACAGTGGATAACAAAATCAGTTTAAAAACAAAGGAAAGTTTATATTTTTTAAAATGAAAAAAGTGTTGGCTTTAAGATTCGATAAATTGTATTTGCAAAAAATAAAAGGAATTAAAAATAAATGGAGGCACATTTTCATTGCAATCAGACAATCTGAATGTTTCAATATATTTTATTCTCATACTTGATTTATTCAAATCAAAATGGATTTGAATAAATCAAGTATTAGAATAAAATATATGAGAACATTATCATTGTCTGATTACAATGAAAATGTCTTCATTTGGTACCAATTTTTGATTATTAAAATGTTGAACTTAAAGAAAAGAATGTCTTTGCGTATGTCTTTTTAAAGTTCCAAATCTAGAACTGTCAGGTTTTCATAATGATAGAAGCAAATATGGGGAAAATTTATACATTTTTGGAAAATTTCTTATAGCATCATTACTAATTTTAATATTTATAAGTATGAATACATATATATATATATATACTTTTAAGAGCTGCTTATATCTATTAATATTAGAAAGCTCTTGCAAGGATAACTTTGTAGGTCCAGTTCTATTGAGCACTTTTTTTGCTTGAAAACATTAGGCTCCTGCACCACAACATTGAGCACTTTTTTGCTGCATTGGCAAGATATTTCTGTATTTTTTGTGGGGTGGGGGGCATAATTGTGTGTTTATGACATTATTTGATTTTTGATGGATGAGTGCTTCAAGGTGAGTTTAGTGTTCACACAACATCCATATTTTTATCAACTTAGTCTTGCCTAGTAGAATAAAGGTAGAATTTTAGCACTACAATTGCCAACTGCCTGACAATTGCGTAAAAGCATGAAGCTTACAGTAGTAGTTGAACTCTGTATGCTGAAAGGTGATTCTTAATTTACACACACACACACACACACACACATATATATATATATATATATATATATATATATCAAGAATAATTTTAGGGAAAATCTTATGATAATGTGATAGTTACGTTGATGTGACTACATATGTGCATGAAGGTGGAAGGACACTGAGAATTTAAAATTTTAATTTTTCTTTTTTAAATATATATATATATATATATCTATATATATATATAAAAGTAGACATTGAGGTCAACACCCAGTGGTGACAGTCTGTTTCATGCTTAAATGCAATCATCAGGCCATTGCGCTTAAGCATGAAACAGACTGTCATTGCAAGATGTTGACCTCACTGTTCACTTTTATACTTACATATGTTCTATTCCTGATACTGAGCACTTTAATTCATAAATATCGCAAAGTTTAGAACTATATTTTTATCATGTGTATATTTATATACACACTAAGGTTTGCAAATGCATATGCATATATACAGATGCAAACATTTACATTATTGTTATATTTTACCATTACACAAAAAACTGATTATAAAAGACATGTTAAAGTTTCACACACATACATATACAAACATACACATACACATACACATGCACACACACCTTCTACATACACAGTGGTCCAATTTAAATATTTTTTCATTTTTATAGAAAAATACATGTTTTTACAAAATAAATGATATGTATTAAATGTTTTTTTCAGGCTTCAGTGTGTGTGTGTGTATTTTGTATGTGTGAGAGCATGAATTTTATGTGTGTATGAGAGAGAACACATGAATGTATGTGTGTGGGTCTGTGTGTTTGTGTGTGTGAGAGAGCATCAATATGTGTGTGGTGTGTGTATGCTGCATGTGTGTGTATATGTGTGCGTATTAGAGAGAGAAAGCCTGAAAGTATGTGTGAGAGCATGAATGTGTGCGTGTGTGTGTGTGTGTGAGAGAGCATGAATGTGTGTGTGTGTAGTTTTCTCAGAATGTAAAAATAAGTTATGTAACAAGTGAATAACCTTTAAGAAGCAATCTCAAGTAAGAAAACCAGATGAAACCAGTTCTGAACTGTTTTTTATTGTTGTTGTTGTTAACACTGCTGGGGGGTGGGGTGGGGTATGAGCAGTAGTTATTGTGAAGGTAAACCGACTGTGAATTAACATGGGAACTGGTCATTGTTCATGCTAAAGAGTCTTTTATAAAAAAAAAAAAAAAAAAAGAACAAAAAAGAGTTCCTCATTTTGGATGGCATCAGTGGACAGATGCCATAAAGATGACGACTGAAAAAAAAGTCAATGGTTCAAGGAAGATTCTAAGGTAGGAGAAGAGTGAAAAAAATCTTTCTTTCTTTCTCTATTAAAAAGGAAAAAAATGAAAAAGAAAGAGAAGACAAAGAAGAAATATGAGAAGAAAATCCATAGATGTTGATTTCTAGATTAGATATAATCTGATTAGATTAAATATAATCTGATTAGATTAGATATAATCTAAAAGACAAAAGGAAGTTGGAAATTTTATATATGCTTCAATGCATGCGTTTGTTCTTTACAAAAAGAAAGGAAAAGGATGATAAAGACTTAGAAACACATCTGTGTATACGCATACACATGAGTAATTATACACATATATCTGTTGATAGCTATCTATCTTTATCTACATCTCTCTCTCCATACATTATATATATATATATATATATATATATATATAAAAAGAAATGTTGTGTGTGTGTGTGTGTGTGTGTGTGTGTGTGTGAATTGGATGGTGAGTTGGTAAGTAGTACACAGGAAATATTGGAAGATGCTTATATGATGCTTTGGAGGAATTTTCGCCCAAAATAGCTCAGTACATTTCGGCAGGAAGAAGAAGGTAGTAGGATCAGTATAAGTAATGCATAAGTACAAGCATTAGTAGTTTTTAGAATAAGTAATAATATTTGTAGTTGTTGTTGCTGTTGTAGATGGTTATAGTAGTAGTAGTAATACTAATTGTATTGATGGTGGTTGTGGTCATGTTGTATTTGGTTGTTGTTGTTGTTGTTGTTGTTCCCAGAAGGTGAGAAAAGGGGTTAGAAAACAAGGTGAAATATTCAGGAGGAAACTGAGAAAGTGAAAAAAAGGGTCATGGAAGAAAAAAGAATAGAGAAAGGGAGAATATGTTAGAAATTAATTGGAAGGAAATGAAAGAAAGAAAGAAAGAAAGAAAGAAAGAAAGAAAGAAAAACAGAAAGAAAGAAAGAAAGAAAGAAAGAAAGAAAGGATGAGATTGAGGAAAGTGTGAAATAATTGTAGAAAAATAAAGTTAAGACAGGAAAAAAATGAAAGCTGAGAAAGGGAAAAAAGTTGTGTAACAAAAGCATAAAGTATTGAAAGAAAAAAAGGCAAAATAAACAGCAGTGTTTTAGGAAGACAAGTAAAAAAAAATTGAAGAAGAAGAAAAAGAAGGAGAATGTGTGCCAGGAGGATGGGATGTTATTCTGTTTTTAGAATCCTCCTCCTCCTTTCGTGTCCTCACTTGTACCCATCTTCATCCAAGAAGTGTGAGATGCAAAATATAAACAAAAAGAAGCAGAATTTAAAAAAAAAAAAAAAAAAAAAAAGAAGATATTAAAGATGTCAGATTAAATATGATACTGGCTTTATTTTAATTCTTATTCTATACAATATGACAGAATCCTTAACTTGATTTTCTTAAGGTGTTTAGGGATGGGGAAATAAAAGGCAAAGCAATTAACTCAGCTTATACAGGTATGTGCATGTATGCGGGTGGAAGATATCCAACACGCATGTGCTTGTGTAAATAAATAGGTATAGATATACAACACACATAATTAAGCTTATAGACACGTTGGCTTTTATTGTAGTTATGTATATAGGTATAAGTATATATACACTTCCAAAAAAACACACAACCATAAATAAGAAAAAGAGTGTGTGTGTGTGTGTGTGTGTGTGTGTGTGTGTGTGTGAAAACATATGAACTACAAAGGACAAAAGATATGTTTGAAAAGAAAACGTTTCTTTAATAAATTGGCAAATTCATTAAAGAAAGGGTTTTTTTTTATCTTTCAGCAAGAGTATCCCATTAGAGCTGATGAACAAGCATCAAGGCTTTAGTTTTTACAGGATTTATTTTGTACATCCATAGATACAAAATACAACAGAAAATCTGTTGTACTTAGAAATACAGGAATACATTGGTTTAGGCATAAAAATGTATCTCTGACCTTATTCTTCTTAATGAATTAGGGAGGTACTGTTTGGGAGATGGTTTCTCAGTTTACAATCACTTTCTGCTTAAAAACAGAAAGAAAAGACTTACTAACTAGATTAGGTTGTACATCAGGATGCCCCATGGCATCCACACACATCTTTCATTCAACACAGTCTATCATAATGTTCTTTAGTTCTAATAATGTTTCCATCTAAGCAGTGTGTCTACAGTGTCCCCAAGCAGTGTGTCTACAGACTCAAGTAATGTGTCTACAGTCCTCAAGCAGTGTGTCTACAATGTCCTCGAGCAGTATATCTGCAGAGTCCCTGAGCAGTGTGTCTACAATGTCCTCAAGCAGTGTATCTACAGAGTCCCCAAGTCATGTGTCTACAGTGTCCTTGAGCAATGTGTCTACAGTGTCCTTTAGCTGTGTGTCTACAGTGTCCTTGAGCTGTGGGGCTACAATGTCCTTGAGCTGTGTGTCTACAGATCTCCTTGTTCTTCCTTTGCTTGACTGCCAGAGATATATAATGACACATATAAAGACAAAGATGTTCATTTTATAAATATTCCTTCAAATACCATTCCATTTTTAGCTAATTTTTTGGTGTTTTTAAAAGCAACTTGACTGTATCCTTTCATCAAGATCTATATGACAAAGAAGAAAGTAATCGTAATTATTGCTCCAGAAGCAAGCATTCATTATGGTTAAAAGTAATCTTTGACAATATCATTAATCATTTACATATGATGCCAGGGTTGGGGGGGTCAGTGAGCAGGCAGTAAAGCAGTTATCAGTGCGGAAAGTGGAATTAGCAAGTTAGGCCCAATTTTCCAGCAAGTCTATTGCACTCACTTTTACCCAAATAGCGTTGGGAAAGACACAAATCAATTTCTTCTCAACACAGCTATGTGTTAAATAGCAAAGTATACTGAGTTCAGTAGCCTTTAATTGATAGCCTGTTCAGGAGAAAGACAACTTAATATTCAAAACTGTATAGAAGGCAATAGAAAACCATTTCTCTTTTTCAAGACAAAGAAACAATATTTCTAGATAGTCATAATCATCTACATCTCAAAGTGATAAAAAAAATTGATTATAAAAATCAAGTTTTTAATGGCTTCTCCATCTGTTCTGTATTGTCTATTGAGTATAATGATTTTTTAGCATATATACATAAGATGACAAATACATGCACCCGCACACACACACACACAAACATACATATATGTAATGCAAATACACAAAAAACACACACACACACACACATATATATATATATATATATATATATATATATATATATATATATATGTAAGCAAATGTAAATGGATATAGATCCGACAGAATGAAGAAAAATTTGGAAAAAACAACATATTTAAATGTTGTTTTTAAAATGAATGAAATATAGACGTCTGACGTTTCGGTTTAATAAACCTTTTTCAAGACAATATTCATTAAAATACAATTCAGTTCAATTTGACAAAGACGATGGATATAAACAACAAGTCTTATCCAAAACAGATAACTGAACTGAATTGTATTTTAATGAATATTGTCTTGAAAAAGGTTTATTAAAACCTAAACATCAGACGCCCATATTTCATTCATTTTAAACAACATAATTGCATTAAAGGATTTTTTGTTTGTTTTTTCCAAATTTTTCTTCATATATATATATATATATATATATATGTATATATATATATATATATATATATATATATATATATATATATATATATATATATATATGTACATGTGTCTGTGTTTTTGTGTGTATTTGTCATCTTAGGTATATATGGTAAAAAATCATTATACTAACATACAATACAGAATATATATATATATATATATATAGAGACAGAATATATATATATATATATATATATATAGACATATATATATACACACATATACATACATAAATATATATATATATGTATACACATACATACATACATACATACATACATATATATATATATATATATATATATATATATATATATATATATATATATATACTACCCATACGGATTACATATATATACATAGAAGTGATTATATATAATACTACCCATACGGATTACATATATATATATATAATACTACCCATACGGATTACCAAGTTTTTCATAACTTAAATATATATAATATTATATATATATATACATATATAATAGCTCGCCATGCATATTCAAGGATACCTGTCTATTAGGGCAGCTAGCCAATCCCTATTGCAGATACTTGCTCTGACATATTTGAGTTTGTTCATCACCCTCAGAGCCAACATGTGGTTTATACAGCTTCTATGTTGAGCAGACCTTAGTTACAGTTTCTGGGAAAGAGCGTATTATCTAGCATGATCAACAATCTGAACAAGGCCAGCACACTCAAACTCTCGGTCATGATGACTTGTGACTTCGTAATAGCGCAGCTATCAACAGCCCTCAAGATTTCCGTCTACCCAATTTCACTCACAGGGCTTGGGTCAACCTGTGGTATGGTTTTCAGGCACTTTCTAAAGGTGATGCACACTGGGATCGAATTAAAGATTTTGGTTGAAAATCTTGAACTTCCTCCTGATTGGATCTTCCAACGAGGTAATGATCCTAAACACACTGCAAAATCTACAATGAAATGGCTTGCTGAAAATAATGTAAATATCCTGAAATGGCCAAGTCAGTCCCCAGATTTAAACCCAATCAAGAATCTGTGGTGTTATTTGAAAATTCAAATCCAATCGAGACCTCCAACAAACATCCCACATCTGAAAACTGTATGCGAAGAAGAATGGAAGAAAATAGCAACTAAAATTTGCAAATCATTAATTGAGAACTACAAGAGGTTGGTTGTTGCAGAAGTGAATAATGGCGATTCTACAAAGTATTAAATAAAGATTATGTATTCTTTTTTGTATTGTACGAATACTTTTTTCACCTATTAAAATGGATAAATGGGATTTATTTCTATAAAATCAATTTTTTTTTCTGTTTTCTATGCATTTTAGTTATTATGTATTTGTGGATAGTTAATTATATGAAAAGTATGTTTATTCATTAGTTGGAAATAAAATAAATTAAAAATTTGTATGTGTACAAATATTTGTTCCTCCCCACTGTGTATATATATATATATATATATATATATATATATATATATATATATATATATATATATATATATATGATTAAAACAAATATAAGATTTAGCCCATTGATGTTACCTTCAGCATCCTGATTCCAGAGTTTGATAGATGGACTCTCCAGAAATCACTCCATCCACTTGTCAGGGGAATCAGCAATTGACTGTTCATATTTTCCATTTGCACATTCGTTAATGTCCAGCCATCTGTTAGAGTGGGTAGGTAATTGCTGTTGCAGATATCTGCTCAGGCACATTTGTGTTTGTTCAACACACAGAATCAACCTGTGATTTATACCGCAACTATGCTGAGTAGTCCTTAGTTACAGTTTCTCAAAGAGAGTATATCATCTGGTATGAACAACCATTTGAACATGCCCAATGAGAGCAAATCCTCAATCACAATGATGTGTAATTTCATGCCAGCACAACCACCGATGCCCCCCTCTAAAACAGTTTTGTCTACTTAATTTCACTCATAAAGCTTAGATCAATTTGTGGTATGGTTTTCAGGTATTTTCCAATGGGGCTTCATATTGGGATTGCTTCCCAACACCACCAAGAAGTCACCTTTCTGACAAATCAACCCTGATGATATGCCATGAGTCTCATGGTTGGAAAGTCTTTTAACCTTTTAACCACTCAAGCCATGTGCCCATATATATATATATATATATATATATATATATATATATATTGTCATCCACAGACAGGGTGTTTCGCTGTATCACAGCTCATCAGTGTGGATAGATGTCCAGTTGCCTCTAGCTAGGATTGAAATCCAGCAGAATTGGCATCAGTTAGATATTCTACTCCTAAGCTGTTGGCGCATGGCAGGGATGAAGGCGAATTTAAGCATATTTATTTTTAGATAAACACACAGTGACTGAGAGAACTCCATTCGCTTTACCAAAGAGTCTTGCATTGTTGGCAGTAATAGTCACTGTTTACAAACTCAGACTTCCTTCCCTGAGAGTTCAACCGAAATAAATTTTTCAGGAACATATATATTGTAGTTTTTATCAGGAACATATATATGAAGATTTTGTATATATATATATATATATATATATATATATATATACAAAAACTACATATTTTGAGTCCTTTGGATTTAGCTTTTAAGTATAAAAAACTGAATCAGCAGACCAAGTTTAAATTTTGGTTAGAGCTTCATATGTTCACATTACACCAACACATTTGTGAACGGCATGAAATCACATTTACCTATACTCTGTCCCATCATAAATTATCTTCAGAAAATATTTCATTATTAGCAATGTTGAAAGAGCAAGACTTTGGGTGAAACCCTCTTTCAAAACTACCTTACTTTTGCCCAGTAAGTGTAAAAATGTTGTTATCCCCATAAAAAAAGCTTGACAACAACCCCCACCAAAAAAAATGTAGATACTTATGATAGATACATAGATAGATTGATAGATAGATATGAAATGATTAAATAGAGAGATATCAACAGATATAGGTAAATAGATATGAACAGATTAGATAGATAGATAGATAGATAGATAGATAGATAGATAGATATGAATAGACATAAATAAATAGATGTGAACAGATTAAATAGATAGAGATGAACAGACATAGATAGATAGATAGATAGATAGATAGATAGATAGATAGATAGATAGATAGATAGATAGATAGATAGATAGATAAAAATAGCTAGATAGATTTGAATAGACTTAGATATATTGGGGCTAAATATATATATTTATACACACAGTGAAAGGGAAAGAGTTTGTAAGAGAAAATGTTTTTTGATGGTGAATCTAGAAAAGTGGATGTGGGCAGATGTACAAAATCATGTGCAACTGATGTGTGAGAAGTTTACAAATATGTGACATATGTATGAATATGTGTGTGTATATATATGTGTGTGTGTGTGTCTGTGTCTGTGTATGTGTATGTGTGAGTGTATATTTATAGGATAAAAGCAGAAGCATAAATATAAATTTTATGCATATGGACATGATTTATAAAAGAGTGTGAATGTAGTTGTGAGGTTTGTAACTATGCACTAGTTTAATGGAAACTGAACAGAGTATGCATAAATGTAGCATACACATATACAAACACACACACTTATATAAATATATATATATATATATATATATATATATATATATATATATATATATATATATATATAGATAGATAGATAGATAGATAGATAGATGATGCTGGAAATTTATGGTTAGCATTCTTGTCTCATAAACCTCAGTGGGTGCTCCATGAATATGGCTGAATGCCAAATTTTCTTAGTTTATTATATAAATAGACTTAGTGTGGTATAATAATGTGAAGATGTCTATGTATGCGTGTGTCTGCATGTGTGTGTATGTGTGTATGTGCATGTGAGTCTGCTAATTTAGGAACATTTTTCAATATAAACATTTGAACATTAAATTTTATGATTGTGATCTCAATACACCCTTTAATGAAAACTGACCAATAAAATTTCCATTTTTTCCTAACTTATATAATAATTATCTTTTGGCAAACTTGGACCTTTGTGCTAGCACAAAAACACTGTGTCAAAAGGACAGTTTTTCCTTTGACACCATTATTATTTTAACTACCTTCACTCCACATTTTATTAAAAAGCAATGATTAGAATTTAAAGTAAAACAAAAACATGATGAAAGTAAAATTATATGTTTTTTGTTCTTGAAAATTCACAAGAAAAATATTAAACACTATTTATTTATTAGATTGTTTATTTACAAGAATAAATTTAAATTTACAACATTCTAAAAACTAATACATTAAACTAATACAATGCAATGTTTATCAATGTTTACCAATTTCTAAAGAAATAATTTTTTATTCATAAATTTATAAACATTTCCTAAATTATTAAAATATGAGAACCAACTATAAGGAAATCCTTATTATTTGCCATTTTATAAAGTTCAAATCAATAGACAATTAGCCAATATTTTGTCAACCATTTCAATAAATAGTATAATAAATAGTGTAAATAAAAAATCTAATAATGTTTATTATTTTTGTTGTCAATTCCCAAGAACAAAGAAAATGTATAAATTCATTTTCATGTGTTTAGGTTTTACTAAAAATCTAATCATTTTACTAAAATTCTATTGTTTTACTAAAATTTTAATCATCACTTTTTAAAACAATAAGCAAAGCAGTTAAAATAATAGCAAGGTCAATGGAAAAAAACATTCTTTTTTTTGTGGGCACTGTTCCAGGGTTGCCTAATTTTTAAGAGATAAATAGCAAAAAAGGGAGTAGTTCATTTAAGATAGCCATCATAATTTTAGATATATGTCAGTGTTGCAAATAAAACCTCAGAAAGCTTAAAACACAAAAATTATCAGTTGAATAAATAAAATGGAAAAATCAGATATGAAATTGCTAGAGGACCAATATCTGGTTGAAATTTTTTTGCTATGTCAAATTCAGCATATCTAATGAAACAACAAAAAAGAGAAAATTTACTTGAGAAATCCAAGAATGGACAAAGGCTACATTTGCTGGAATCTAGCATTCACACACTGTGACTGTAAACACACATTGTCTGGTGTTAGCATTAGATACCACTGAGGCAATATGGGTGAACATTAATGATGTTTCAGCCCCCAAACCATGCTTGGCCCAAAGGTCATCATCTGATGAACACTTTGTGAGGGGCACTGCTGCTGTTTTTACAGTGGTAGTTATATATATTTATTTATTGATGAATAGAAAGTTTTATTTCATTTGCAAATAAAATTTATATTCATGCATTGATATGTAAAAACATCTATCAACTTTCTATCCAAATGATCAACTTTCTATCCAAATGATAAACTTTCTATCCAAATGATAAACTTTCTATCCAAATGATAAAATACCTTCTTTTATCCATTAAATCATTTCTAAGGGACAACATGAGAATAAATAAAATAAATAAACCTGTCACAATGTTGAAGGCAATTATCTACCTTTTAACAGGGAAAATTTATTGATGACTTAAGGGGCCTTTGAGAGCCATGTGACAGCTGGTTTTTGAGAACAGTCAGTTCAGGATAAAGACAGATGTGTTATCCAGATGCAGTTCAGCTGACCATGAAAGAAAACACAATTCCCATGTGTTCTAAATAAGAATTTAAGATATATCATCAGGGCTGTATTATGTCCCTGTTGGGGACATTAAAAGTAGAACCTTATTTTTATTACCCCCTCCCCGTAATATACTGTTTGCCTTTTTCTATATTTTAATTTCTCTGTAAAACAATTTGTGATGCATATTTGATCCCTATTTATAGATTGCATCTTAGTATGACTTATATTTGTATACTTCATTGTTGGAATTCATTTCTTTGGACTATTCTAGTCCTTCTTTCCATTATGTTAAAGTATTAGTAAATCATAAATGTACTAATGCCTAATGTGGGCTTTGGAGAGCACCCTGTTAAAGATTATTTTTTATTTCAAAACGAACCATAGAATTCTTCTCAGATTAGTTTTTTTAGACATTTCTAAAATCTTTGATTTTTATGAGATATAAATCTTTATGTACAAAGCTTTTTTTAAAGAGACATTAGTCTTTTATTACATAAAAAAATAATGAAAATGATTTGGCAACTATTATTTATTTCCCCAACTTCAAGGACAATATGCAATACATGTTCAATCTTTAGTGTGAAGAAGCTGTATAGACATCTTGTACAAAATGCAACTGAGCCAGGCTTGGATGCAATGGAAATTGGGCAAGCAAACTGTGGCAAATGCACGTCAGTACAGACACAAAAGAGGCCTCAGATTGCATGCAGGCATGTTTGTCAACAACAGTTACATCCAAGTTTTTCCTGTTAACAGCAGAACAATTTGTCATGTCCAGATACGGGCCTCTCTAAAATAAGTATATTACGGGGAGGGGGGTAATAAAAACAGTATATTACGGGGAGGGGGGTAATAAAATAAGGTTCTACTTTTAATGTCCCCAACAGGGACATAATACAGCCCTGATGATATATCAAGATCCGGGTCTTTTGTAAGATGCCTCATGCCAGTAAAAACTGGAGGAAAAATAGCAGTTGGCAAGACATGGCGACGTCACCCTCATGGGCATTTTATTTCTCAAGATGCTGTGGTTTCTGAGACAGTGTTACTTTTGTTACCTTCTGCCTATTAACCTGTAGTTGCTGGGGGAGCAAATGGTTAGGTGTTCCCCCACCCATCTCAACAGACTCTTTGCTTACTTTGCAAGAGAAACTCAGCTGTAGCAAATAGGAACTAGCAAGATATTCCTAGTCGTGGTCATTAAAACAAAATCAGTCTACCTTTGTAGATTAAATAAAAGGTTCAGTTCAAAATTCCATGCAGGTAACTTGGATTGACAAGCACTGATGAAGGCTTGTGGGTACAACAGCTGAAAGGTTATAATAATAATAACAAAGATGGAAACAATAGTCCACATGCAAATAAATTTTTTAGGATTGTCTTATTGTTTATCTGAAGTCATCAGGGTGTAACTCTGATTCATCTCTTAGCTCAGCCAATGAGAGGTGGTGGGGGGGTTTAAATAATATACACACATCTATGCTAGCATTATGAATTAAACTTTCTTTATTGCCTTTAAACTTCTGTTTGAATTTCTGTGATGAAGATTTATCATTATTTGTCTTCTTAGCCATGATCACATTCAGCAAAAAAAATAATAATGACAATTGTTTTTAAAAACACTGGTTGGGAGCTAACAACAATACAATTTCTCACTTAACCATTCAGCTTCGAGAAGTGAACTGCTCTCTTACTAATTTCTGGCCACAGAAAAGGACCTTTACATTCACTGCCTGTTGCTTCAGTCACTGCTGATTCCTCAATCCTGGCTGCTGGGCAGCTACTAACATTGGTCACCTACCTACTTCTTTCATGGCTGGACCCTTTTCTCCCTGACTCCTGCCTCTCTCTGCTTATATGGATAATGGTTGGGTCCCACTCCCACTCCATCCACTTTTTGGGTGATCAACTTTATCAAAGGTCTACTTTTATGATTATCTAAAATCATTGATAAAATTTTATGCTGCCAATTCAAAGGCAAGACATGAATCCTGAAAACCTGGCAATTTAGTTGCCTCAAGGATGGACTGGAAATGAAAATCAGATGAGTAGACTTAAAAGGAAGAAATTTATCTACTTATCTTCTAAAGATGTGTGAGAAATAGTATGGTTACACCTCCAGCCATTATCAGTAGCTGTTATAACTCACTCCTAGTGGTTAGAATATTATGTCTCCATTGACTCCAACCGAAGTCTACTGACTATTTTTGAGTTCTTTATTTAAGGCATCTTGTCTAGTTCATTTGTGTTACCAGGAGTGTCTTATTTACTCCACAATAATAACCTAGTAGTTTAGGGAGTTGATTTGTGAATTTTGTAAAAGTGATTGTGAGTTCAATCCCTAGGTAGGGCAGTGTATACTTGGACTCAGTCAAAACAAGGCAAGCAATAACTGAGCAGTACTAAAATTAAGAACTAGATGAGATATTCCTAGGCATCAAAAATAATCAACTCATAGATTAAGTAAATGATTCAGTTTTGTATTCCCTGTAGGTTACCTGAATGCATATATACCTGATGATGGCCAGAGGGTACAACAGCTGAAACTTCATAATAATAACAACAAAGATGAGGACAATAGTCCAAATGTAAATAGTGTAAATAATGCTGTTTAACTTGTTTTACACTATTCTTGTTTTCTCCATTTTTGTTTCATTCTCTGATAAACAAGGCAAATGTAAGGATTTTATTATCTGACAAGTATTTATATACAAGAGCAGAAAATATTGGTTTTTCAAAATTTTTTAGTATATTCAAGATATTGAACATATATATCAATCCCAATCCAAGATAATTTAAATAATAATTTACATATATGTATGCATAAAAAAAATTTCCTACTCACTTTTGTTTATTAGGCATTGAACTGTATCATCTCACATTCATGAACTTGCGTAACATTTACACTAACTTGATGAATATTCATGAGCACTCCTATACCATAAAATTTTGAAAAACCAATAACATTACTGCTCTTGTATATAAATACTTGTTACAAAATAAATCCAACATTTGCCTTAATAAAGTCCCTCAGAGGATGAAACACGTCAGGTAAATTTTCCTTTTGTCTTTTTTCATATTGTCCTTTTTACAGATATACTCTATCTGAAATTTTTACATATTATACTTATATTTGTCATTATTTTTTTTAATATTTTGGCCAGTTCTCCAGCCTTCCCCAGGTAAATGTGATCTATAGTATTTTTGGTAACAACAACCTAAGTAAGCTAAGTATTTCAAACAATCTCTCTTCATCTACTTTTGAATGTATGCAAACAATATATCACTTCTGTGAGCAACAAACTCTCTGACTTTTGTCTTAAATATTTTTTAATATTATTTTTTGTCAAATTAATTAATTTTCTGTATGAACATTTCCTCTTCATGAAAATACATTAAGACTATGGACTTTAAGACTTCTGATTTTTTTTCTTTAGATGACCAACTGACACGACTTCAGTCATGTAAATTTACTGAATAAATTCCTTATCTTGTTTTGTTAAAATTACCTGTGTGTTTCGTCATCATTATCATCCTTTATCTTCTTGGCATGGGTAGATAAACTGTACACTTTTTTAACCACTTAACCCCATACCACTATAGAACCAAGCACCAGTCAACTATTTTTGTTGTAGTCTGTAGATGACCAAATCAAGATAGATTGATCACATTATTGGTACGATAACTTCTTAGCATTTGCTGACATGTGTGACTCATGTCAATATAAATGCTCTTTCTTTTCAAGGCCCATTTATATTAAATTATAATCTCAAGTACTCAACTGTTTTCAGTATTGATTAACTCATTATTACATAATTTCCTCATTTGTTTGATAGAAATAATGCTTAACTTTTAGTCATCAGCATTTGTCAGACTTGGAAGACTATGGAGTTTACTAGAGTGACTAACTAATCCCTCTTGCAGACACTTGCTCAGACACATTTTGTGTTTCTTCAACTCATACAGAGATAACCTGAGGTCCATACTGTAACTATATTGAACAGAACTTATAGTTTCTGGGAGTGTGTCCATAATTTGGTGCGATCAGCAGTTGAGCAAAGCCAGTATGTTTCAACCGCCTCAACCACAATGACTTGTAACTTTGTGTTAGCACAAACATCAACAGTTTCTAAATAGTTTTGTCTAACCAATTTCATAAGACTTGGATTAACCTATGCTATAGTTTCCAGGCACTTCCCAACAATCCTACACACTGAGGTCATCTCTCCAGGCCTTTTCATCACTTTCAAATTGACCATGATGAGACCAATAACAAGATCAATCTCTCTTGATTTAGTCATCCACAGACTACAACAAAAATAACTGACTGGTTCTTGGTTCTACTGACATAGGAGAACTTCTTTGCCTCTGCCAGAATTCCTTGATTGAGAATCATAACATGTGAGTTAGTGGGCATACGATCAATAAATGTTTCCATTCACTTGGTTCTCATGTTAGAAGACTTGCCTGGAAGCTACTATTAACTCAGAAACATGAACATGACATATTGGTCAGTCTTGGAATGCCCAGACCTGAAGAAAACTTTTGTGGGCTGATATGTCCAAGATCAATTTAGTATAAAGTGACCAATGAAGTTGTATGTCTAGAATGACCTGATTCTAAGGCAGTGGTGCTGATGGTGTGGTATGGTTTCAGTTACCGGGCAAAAAAAATAGATCCCTTCATTGTAGAAGAGTGACTTATTACAATAAGATTATCATGATCACTGTGACATACCACATATAAATGCACACACAGACACTGCAATTTCATTTTGCTACAGGATAATGCTCTAATGCAAAAAACCAGGATTACTTAGGAGGGGTTTTGGTGTCATAAATATTAATGCTTGTATAATGGCCAGCAGACTCTCTCCCAATTTGAATGTGTTATTAAGCACATAGAGGATATGATTAGACAACCACTCAATAACCACAAGCTACATGTCCAAATTATCTCGGAGCTTTGTCAGAGGAGTGGAAACAAATTTCTCTGGTTTGACCTACAAAATAGTGAAAATATTTGTCACAGGAGTGGACACAATCATTATTAATTGTTCTGTGCTTTTATTTAAACAATTTCTTTTGTTAATTTTAATAATTATCTCATTAATTCAACCATTAAATGGTGTTTTCCAAGTTTTTCATCTGGCTGCATTTTTACTTTGCAATTTGAGAATAAATAAAATGGATACAAATTTGGTATAAATAAATCTATTTTTTAAAAAGGTGGTTGATATATTATTACTATTATATTATTATTATTTATGGTAGGGAGTGTTGTTTAATATTTACAAATGACAGACTGCCCTCTTCTACTTGTCTGGCCATTGAGATCATGTAGATCTTTACCTATTCCACCATTGGAGTTTTCAGGGATTGGACTGCAACTGTACACATATGGAAAGATTAAAGATGCTGAAGAAATTGCTGAATTGAAGAAAAGGATGGTTTTAGAAGTTAGCAATGTGTGACATTTTCTGATGAGACATATTTCTAATTGTTTCAGTTTGATTGTAGCATTCAGGTGTAGTGTTGACACCATGAAACCATAGACCCCAGTAGTCAACAAGACATTTTGCAGGCTGGTGGTGTTTCCATAGTGGGATGTGTTCACACAGCATGGATTTTATCCACTAGTCTTGCCTAAACACATCATTTGTGCACTGCTTCATGACTCCATTTACCCCAACAATAATGGGTTATCCAGTACGAAAATATACTATGTATTTGAGCCGAAATTGCCCAGAATTGGTTGAAAGGGCATTTACCATTTTTGCCTAACATGAGTCCAGCATAAGTCCAATCAAACATTTTATGGAACATAATAGAAATGCTATTTGTATGCAAGATCCTGTAGCTCCAAATATCAGAGAGCTGTGAGAAGCTATCGAGACAGCATGGAGGAAATATCTTTCCAGAGGTTTTTCTGACCAATTGTGGAATTGATGCCATGTCAATTTGCTACACTTCACAGAGCTAGAGGGGATTTTACATGTTTCTCAACTAACCCATGACTTCTGCTATCATGTCTGTATATTAATGCCAGAATAAGATCTTGGTTAGTGCTTGTCGTTTTTCTAGTAATTCATAGGATTGTCAGCTTGTTAAATGATAAGGAAACTGCTGATGATAGGCAAAAAGATAACAAAGCAAATATTGTCACCCCCCCACAAAGACCAGAGAGAGAGAGAGATCATGTCAACCAAAGTGGATAAGCAATTATGAGATAATGTAATTAAGATTAGGTCAGGTTAGTTAATTATATATAGGTGTAAACAGTTAATTATAAATAAGTATAAATAGTTAATTATATATAGGTATAAATAATTAATTATAAATAGGTGTAAATAGTTCATTATATATAGGTGTAAATAGTTAATTATATATAGGTATGTTATGAATAATCAAAAGGGGTCTCTTTTTTTGTTACTCTCATCTTTGAGAGAGTTATTTCTGTTTACTGGGACTATAAAAGGACACTATATGTGAACCTTGTATTCTCAGTTGAATAAAGCTTTCTTAAAGCCTACACCTACATACTTTTGTCATTACAAGGCATAAATAGTTAATTATAATTATGTGTAAACAGAAACAGAATTTTTTTGTTTTTTTCATTCTCTTTCCAGCTTTTTTATGGGTGCAGTAATTCTCAGGTTAGTTGGTGGGGGGGATGTCAAATATTTGTTGAACACAGCACATGAGAAAAAAGAGTGAATGATGCCATAAATGCAAGTTGGCATGAAGAGAAGCAGAACTCAAATTCTCGTATGGTGGGGTGTTGGGGTACTTTGTTTTCACTCACTCAAACAGAGTGACATTTTGTGTTATCAAATCTCACCTGAGCTTATATACTGTCTTTTTAAATTCTTTTTCTTTTTTGTATGCCCTCAATGAATATATCCTGCTGCTTCTTTCTTTCTATATAATATCAATCTTTTCTAAGTAGAATGAATAATAGGTCAATGAAAAGTTAAAAATTTTAATTTAGACAATGTAGTGTATTAGCAAGAATTAATAAATCTATTAATATACAACTTATCGGGTTGCTGTCACCCATTATTTATATTTAGAATATAATTCTTGCTATTAAAATTTGAAAATCCATTTTATTTTTGTTTTTCATAGCCTCAACCAAAAAAAATACTAATTATCTGAAAATTTTCAACAAAGCATCTTGCCATTGCAAATGATATTAAAAAGAAATAATGTAACACTTGTTATGAAAATGTTTAGTTGCATTCATTTGGAAAAAAATTCATTTTCCCCTCAAGTTGGCTGCATAAGTGAGTTAAATAAACATTAGGTTAAATAGAAAAACACTACAATAGTTATCTCCTTGACCCATAACTTAATAGATGTTTATCATATACTGCTCAACTGTAGTAAAAAAACAGATAATGTTCTATAAGTAATCTATCTCCTTCTGTATATTATCATCTATCTATCTATCTATCTATCTCAGTTTGTTCATATCTACTGAAGAATACTGATGATGACAATTGTATGCATATATACAAATACATACAAATATTATGTCCATAAACAAACACACACACACACACACACACATATATACTATACTACTAATACTACTACTAAAGAAAAAACAATTAATGTTGGTATGATCAACAGACAACTTGTCAGAGGACCTTATACCAGAAAAGATCCTGAAAAAGGAAAGAAAAAAGAATGAAAGACCAAAAGGCAAATGCCTATCTACTTAGTAAAGAGTTCAATGCTCAGATTACCAAGACAAAGCAATAAACACTTCACAATATCAACTTCTAACAAAGGCAACCCTACCCATTACTCAAATTTCACAGTATTGCGGTCTTCAGACAACTAGAATGGAACTGAAAGAAGTGGGAGGGTGTCTAACTTTATATACCCATGATCATAACTCACCTATGCTAATGCATCATGGGAAACTTCCCATGATGCATTACTGTAAGTGTGTTACAGTCATGGGTATTAGCGCAGGTATGTTACAGTCATTGGTATTAGTGTAGGTGTGTTACAGTCATGAGTATATAAAGTTAGATTCCCCCCACAACTTCTTTCATTTACATTCTAGTCATCTGAAGATCACGAGAGTGTGAAACTTGAGTAAAAACTCAAGCAGTCTTGTGTATATGATGATATGGCAATAGATTTCCAATCTTGAACAACCAATAACTTACTATTTTTTTGCCTTGTTACTAATAGCAGTCTGGCAAAATGGCATATGGTATTAAAGCGAATAAGAAGGTATTGACTGATCATTGCAGTGGATATGTGTACAGTTAGGTATTGGGTAATGCACTTTAGCAGTAGCAATGTGTGTGATAAGTCATGTTCTAGGCAATCCTGAACAGCTATAAATATAAGATCATTTCAAAAATGTATAGTTGAAGGTGATGACTGTGGAAAAATAGTGTTTTGTAGTTGAACATAATGGGTTGCACATTAGAGTCAAGCAGATATTTGTGCTTTTTGAGTCCCCTGAATGATTTTCAGCTCAATTATAGAAATTTATTAATTTTATTTGTACTTAAGAGGCAAATTAAAATAAAACTTAAAAAATAGGGCTTTAGGTCTAGAAAGCTTGGTCTGCTGTGAAGAAACTAAATTTTTGAAAAGTGATTAACTTTTGCATTTAACCAATGTAGATTTCTGTTTAGGGAATTTTAATGCCAAAAATGGATTCAGCATAAAGGAAAAAAATAGGAATATAGACCTCAATCATAATTTTCTGATAACTAGAAGGAAATATCAAAAAATGATATTTAGTCCCCAGCATATAGAGCCAAAAGTAAGTAAGGATCAAAAGTAAGTAAGGATCAAAAGTAGGTAATGATCAAATAATTGGTTGATTGATTTTGTTTAGCAGCATATCAACCTCTATGGGTTATTTAATGCTGAAATCTAAGTATTTTGTACATAATAATGTTATGCTTTCAATTACAGATATTTTATACGTAATTTTATGCTTTCAGGATAAAATGTATGTTTTTAGATATATAGTTTGTAGATCATAAAATGTATTGCTGGTAATTTAAGTACAAAAATGTATTGTTGGTAATATTACTATAAAAATGTACCATTGATTTTTGTTTGGGGGTTCACTATTTTCTCATAGTTGAGGCCCTAACAAGTGTGCCCACCTAGAGTCAGGGTGAAGCTAGGAACATAATGGCATATCAACTCCTCATGGGTCATTTAATGTGGAAATTTAATTTTCTTGGGAGCTTTGAAGTAATAAAAATATGTTATTCTACTTTCACAATTGAGTAAATGGTAGATCATACTCAGCTTTTTTGCATATACATGTTTGTGTGGACATGATTACTAGAGGTGGTGATATAGATGTTTTATGTTGTAGTTTTGTTGAAGTTATATTTTGGAATACAGTTTGCTTTCTTTAAGAAATTGTAGGATATTATTTGGATTAATGTTATTCTTTCATGTTGGTTGTTTGGCTGGTCAGTTGATTTTGTTTAGCAGCATATCAACCTCTATGATTTATTTAATACTGAAATCTAAATATTTTGAATTAAATTGCATGCTTTCAACTACAGATAAATAGATAGTATTGGTCATTTTTTTCTATATATAAAATTGTATAGCTTGTATTTTTAGTATAAAAATGTATTCTTATATTTCCAAAAGTTTTTTTTCATAAGTTTTTTTTTGTTTGGGGGTTCACTATGTGCTGATAGCTGGGACCCTAACAGGTGCTACCACCCATGGTCAAGGTGGCTCTGAGAACACCAACAATTAAAAGGTGGTTTCATGCTCCTCAAAATCTTCAATCCCCTGGTCAGAGGCCTTGCTGCTATTGGTAGTTTTATCATAAGGATCAAAAGTAAATAAGGATCAATAGTAGATAGGGATCAAAAGTAAGTAAGGGTCAATTTAATGTAGGAAAGAAACTGAGTAAGTTTTAAATATCTTCTTGAGAAAAATTTTCTTATATTTTGTAGATTTAAATTGTTTTAATATTTGGGAACTTACAGAAAAAGGTGAAAAAAATTGTCTTTAGCATTTTTGTTAATGTTATTTGAAGTAGGTGGGTCAGAGACAGAAAAGTAGGCAAAATATGGCCAAAACATTGTGCTAATTTAACTGAATTTTGTGCTGCAGGGCCCCAAATCCATTTGATTTCAGTCATTTTTAAGAAAAGTGTCAAAATAAATATTTCAACAAGATTCCAATGATATTCTTAGCAAAAAGAATCAGAAGAAGAAACTATCCAGAATTGATCATTGGAAAATATCTGATTAAACATTTGAAAGTTTTGATTAAATGCAAATGATCATAACTTGATAAATACTTGGGAGTTAGGACAAAGTTAGACCAGTTCTAAAATCCCAAGACTGGTCTACTTTCTGACTAAATATAACACATATCAGTTGGGAAATGTTCCAAAACTGTTCTACTTGCAAGCCCAGTGTTGAAAATCTTCCCTAGCCAATGGTTTTATTGTTAATTCTTGGTTATGGGTGTAGAAAATTTAGTGAAGTTCCCCATATGCTCAATGGATATAAATTTAGTGAGCATAAGGGGGTGTTTTGACAACCAGTTTCATAACAACACTATGTTGAAAATCTTCCCTAGCCAATGGTTTTATTGCACTCCCAGTATTTGTTGTAGTTTTGGTTGGATTAAATAGAAGTCATTATTTTTGGAGAGTCTCTCAGGAGTAGTATATATATATATATATATATATATATATATATATATATATATATATATAACAATGCCTTTAACTGTGCCATGTGTCCTCAAGGTATTAGTTAGATCCAGTGACAGGACCGAAAGAGCGTGAGTTCAATACCCGGTTAAGGCAGTGGAGAACTTTCAGAGGGAAAATTAACAGGAGATAACTGATAACTGACATCCATTAAACATGGCATGTGGAACTAGAACAGTCTACCCCAGTGAGCAAAATAAAGGGTTCAGTTCGACATTCCAACCACCTGAAGAAGGCCGGGGCGTACAACAGCCGAAACGTTGTAATAAATATGGCAACAAAGATGAGGACAATAGTTCGAATAATGTAAATAAGGTACAATGAAGGGGAATATTGCATCAAATCACAATTCATTGCTGGTTCCAGTTAATTTAGCAACCACAGTGTATACTGGATTCCATAATTTTTATAGTCTTCAGCCAACAAGACTACCACTAATGACACCATGGCATTGGTTACTGCACT